TGCCGCGCGCCGGGAATGCCGCGCCTCGGGCCGCCGGAGCCTCCGCTCGACCCGCCCGGCCGCACCTTCGCACGGGTTCAGCGGGGCAGAGGGAGGACAAAACCCGCTGTCAAGCGCTTCCCTCGGGGATTGCGGGCTGCGGAGCGGGGCCGGGCGGTCGGGGCGCTGCCCTCGGGGATGCTGAAGGGAGCTCGATGGGCTCCGGGAAAGTGACATGCACAGAAGGGTTGGGGTTTTTTAAATTTAAACAAACAAACAGACAAACAAAAACCAAACCAAACCCAAACCAAACTAAAACCACCACCACCAACAACAAACAACTCCAAAAAGAAACCAACCAAGAGGGGCTTTTCTGTGTTTGGAAATACTGGAATACTGATTCCTCCTGGCTTTTCTGGGCAAATTCCTTGGGGCTTTCCAGATACCATTTACTAGTGTTTTGGGAGCTCACTGAAAGGATGGGGTGTTAACAGTAACAGACACTCCCTTTCCTTCGAAGTGCTGGTCATTCGGTGCACAATCAATTCCCCTTATTTTGAAGTTGCCTCATTTACGAAAACTCCTTTCCATTTTCAGTCTGAAGCTCCTGGAACTTTTAACCGCGCTTGGGTCCAGAGGACTCATTTTGGAATGTCTGAATGGGTTTCCTTTGTGATCCTCCGATGGGTCAAGGGGCTTAATGAGTATGCAACATCTCTCACAATTACCCGCTTTGATTCTGTCATTTCCTCATTTTAAAAAAGTGACGATCTGTACAATACAGAAAGTAAAATAAGTTTTCACCTATTATCTCCACTTGTTGCTGAACAAACCAAGTTTAAGTGATGGATTCTGTTAGATTGATTTCAAGTTGTTATTTGTCTTTTGAAGCAGCATATCAAAGTTATTCGTATCACTGTTCTATGGAAACAAGCATTGCAGGGTTTTTTTGCACTAGAATCAAGTGGTGCAACTGTATATTGGAAAAATGTTGTCCTATGTTTGAGTTCTTGCGGGTTTTTGTAAACTTCTTTTAAAACATTAAACCTCAGTTCTACAAACTGATTATTCGCTTGGCATACATAGACTTAGCAGAGATCTACAAAGGTGTCCACTTGGAGACTGAAGATCATGCTAGATTCACCTTACCTAGTTGTTACATTTACTATATTTACAATCCATTTAACTCTCAGGCTAGATTTTTTTTAGCTATTAATAAACCTTGGTTGATCAGTATATGAGAAGGTTGGATAATTAGGTTTTCAGGCCATCAAATTTCCCATTACAATTTGGCAGGCAGCTCACCACAGAAAGAATTTTGGAATTCATCTTGTGCAGGTAAAAATTCCTGTCCTCTCTAGGACAGAAGTGTATGTTTTCACAAAAGTGTATTCACAAATAATCTATCAGAAAAATTAGTGCCTTTGGTAGTCAGAGGTCACAGTCACTGTGGTTCTTGCATCATAGAGGTTAGGTGGCTTGGTAAAGGTTATGATCAAATTTCATTACTTTCTTCTTAGTTATTTTCAGCCTCTCTAGACTGGGATTTACTAGTGATACCCAAAAGCCTAGAGACACCCATCTCTGAGTTCTGGACTGGCTGTATGCAATTCTCTCATCCAAGCTGAAGAGGAAGGGAAGTAGGAGCTGGGGTTGGGACATTCCTTCAGCCTTTCCTGGCTGCAACTCCACAATTACTATGCCGTGTTCCTGCTGAGTGGCAGAGATAGATAGAAACAGCTCACAGTAGTCCAGGAACTGCTGTGATCTTTGCCAATCCTCAAACTTAATTCTCTAGCTGTGTTTGGTTTGATTTTTTTTCCCAAACCTTCTATGTAAGCATCATCCTAGCTAGTCTATCTGTACACCAGAGTCCAGTTATGAGCTTCCTAATCCCACTATCATGGAATCACATAATCACAGAATTGTCAGAGTTGAAAGGGACCTCTAAAGCAGGATCCCCTAGAGCACATTACACAGGACTGCATCTGGGTGGGTCTTGAGTATCTCCAAGGAAGGAGACCCCCCAACCTCCCTGGGCAGCCTGTTCCAGGGCTCTGTCACCCTCACCATAAAGAAGTTTTTCCTCATATTTAAATGGAACTTCCTGTGTTCCAGCTGTGCCCATTGCCTGTCATCCCATCACTGGGAACTACTGAAAAGAGTCTGGTTCCATCCTCCTTGCACCCACCCTTTAGATACTTGTAAGCATTAGTAAGATCTTCCTTCAGCCTTCTCTTCTCTAGGCTAAAGAGTCCCAGCTCTCTCCACCTTTCCTCAAAAGGGAGATGCTCCAATTTCCCAGTCATCTTTGTCGCCCTCTGCTGAACTCGCTCTAGGAGTTCCCTGTCTCTCTTGAACTGGGGAGTCCAGAACTGGATATAGTGTTCTAGCTGTGGTCTCACCAAGGCAGAGTAGAGGGGGAAAATGACCTCTCTCGACCTACTAGCCACACACTTCTTTATGCACCCCAGGATTCCATTTGCCTTCTTGGCAGCAAGGGCACACTGCTGGCTCATAGATAATTTGCAGACTATCAGGACTCCCAGATCCTTCTCCTCAGAACTGCTTTCCAGCTGGTCCACCCCTAACCTGTGTTGCCACATAGGCATAGTTGTTTCTTCCTCCCAGGTGCAAGACCCTCCCTACATTTCTCGTTGATGAACCTCATTAGGTTCTTCTCTACCCAGCTCTCCAGCCTGTCCATGTCACGCTGGATGCCAGCACAGCCCTCTGGAGTGTCAGCCACCCCTCCTAGTTTGGTATCATCAGTTAACTTGCTGAGGATACTCTGTCCCCTTGTCCAGGTCACTGATGAATTTGTTCCACAAGACTGGTTCAAGTATTGACCCTTGGGGGACACCACTGGTTACCAGCCTCCAACTCGACCCTGCTCCATTAATCACAACTATCTGAGTTTTGTCACAGCCAGCTGTCAATCCATCTCTCTGTCCACTCATCTATCCCACACTCCCTCAGTTTCCTAATGAGGATGTTATGGGAGACAGTGTCAAAAGCCTTGCTGAAGTCAAGGTAGATGACATCTGCTGCTCTCCCCTCATCCAGCCAACCAGTTTTGTCATCACAGAGTGTGAGCAGATCAGTCAAGCATGATTTATGCTTGGTAAATCCATGTTGACCACTCCCAGTAACGTCCTGTTCTTCAATGTGTTTAGAGAAAATGTCCAGAACGAGTCACTGCATCACCTTCCCAGGGACAGAGGTGAAATTAACTGACCTGTAGTTCCTTGGGTCTTTCGTCTTGCCCTTTTTGAAGACTGGAGTAATATTGGCCTTCCTCCAGCCCCCAGGCACCTCTCCTCTTCTCCATGGCCTTTCAGAGATGATGGAGAGTGGCACAGCAGTAACATCCTCCATCTCTCTCAGCACTCGCGGGTGAATCCCCTCAGGGCCCATAGACTTACGGATGTCCAGTTTGGCCAAGTGGTCTCTAACCTGGTCCTCCTCTGCTGAAGGAAAGTTGTTGTCTCTCCAGACCTTCCCCCTTGCCTCCAGGGTCTGGGATTCATGAAGGATAGCTTTAGCAGTGAAGGCTGAAGCAAAGAAGGCATTCAGCAACTCTGCCTTCTCTGTGCCTTCCAGCACTAGGGCACCCACCTCATTCATCAGCAGGCCTACATTTTCCCTAGCCTTCCTTTTTCTACTGATATACTGAAAAAACCCTTTTCTTGTTGTTTTTAACAGCAGTGGCCAAGTTGAGTTCTGCTGGAGCCTTGGCCTTTCTAATTTTTGCCCTGCATAGCTTCACTACATCTTGGTATTCCTCATAAATTGCCAACCCCCTTTTCCAAAGGCTATAAACCTTCCTTTTGTTCCTGAGGTCCAGCCAATGCTATCTTGTCAGCTAGGATTCCTTTCTTCCTTGTTGGCTTGTCTTTTGGGTCCTGGGGATGACCAGCCTTCCTGGGCTCCTTTGCCCTTCAGGACTGTCTCCCAAGGGATACTCTTAACCATGCTTTGAAACAGGCCAAAATCAGCCTTTCAGAAGTCCAGGCAGTTCTGCTGTCCCCCCCCTCCTTGCTTCTCCAAGAATTGAGAATTCTGAGATCACTCTGCCCGAGACAACCTCCAGCCTTTACATCCCCCACAAGACCTTCTGTTAACAAGCAGCAGGTCCAGCAGGGCACTTTTCCTATTTGCCTTCCTCTCCACCTGTGTCAGGAAGTTGTCTTCCTTCCACTGCAGGAATCTCTGGGACTGTTCCCTCTCTGCTAAGTTATATTTCCAGCAAACATCTGAGAAGTTGAAGTCCCTCACAAGAACAAGGGCTGGTGATCATGAAACATCTGCCAGGTTCTGTATTCAATCTTACTCATTCCCAGCATCATGCCAGTCACCTGAAGCCTCCAGTTACCCTGTCAGTCTTTCAGACTCTTTTGTTGTTTTGTTTGTGGGGTTTTTTTTCTGCCCATCCTCACAGAATTAATATTTTACTGTATGTCATGCAAGCACAGAAGGCTAGCTGTCTCAGCATAGCAAGATAATCCACTGAACAGAAATAAAGTGAGAGGCAGTGAGATTTGCTCCAAAAGGCAGCAAAAATCTTGCAGAGGAGGGTGTGTTGCCACCTTGTCTCCACTACTATAGATTCGTACATCTGGTTAGCTCAAAAATGGGTTTAAACACACTTCCCGCACAGAGATGTGTTCATGGGCATTTGTAGAATTTGTCATATGAAAAATGGACAACTAGGATGAGATTCAGCTGCAGATTAAGTCCCTTGAATGTCTACACCTACTGAAATAAGACACTTGTTTACATATGTGCTAGGTGGCCATGGTCCAGTTATGATCAGTGGAGAGACCTTGTCAATGCTTGCAGTGAAGCTTAGAGATTAATTCACCCCAAGTAGATATCAAGTGGCTGGTCAGCTCAATAGCTGTAGGCTTTTAACCAGGCTGGCTAAATCATCTTTGAGTATGAGGGGCTTTAGAGATTTAAAGAGTGTCTTAATCTGGAGCCGAATCCTTCCCTTAAGGTAGAAACAATTTGGTTGTCCAAAGATACCTTTTAAACCATTTTAGCAGGTACAGAATGTGTTTGTTAAGACAGCATGCACTCTGTGGTGTTTAATGTGTACTTAACTGCTCTTTTTCTAATCCAGCCTTGTTTAGAACTATCTTTTGGGTTCTGCCACTGCTCCTTGTTCTGTCTCCAGTGAATCCGTCTAGTTGTGCAATGGGAAATAAAACAGCTGAAATCCGTGTGAAGTATGAAAATATACTAATCCACGACATCAATGAGCTGGTAGGTAATAGCTCTTGGGCTTTCAAAAAATGTTGATTATTTTTAGATTATGACAAATAATAATGAAAAAAAAAGCTCTAACATTAACAAACTATAAAAATCCAATTTAAAATCACCAATTATCCTGGAATGGTGTCTTTATTTGAGAGGATGCTACAATTCAGTCACTTTAAGATCTCTGAAATCTGTGGTTGCTGCCTAGTACAATACTGTGTTATGGGTATTTGTACCTGTGCACCATATAGTTAATACCACTTGACCCTAAATAATATAATATATTACATTAATAAGTACTATTCTGAAGTAATTTCCTTACTATTTCTGTTTATAGCTTCTTATCAAGAGAAGAAAGCATTACACAATCTGTAATTTGTTCTACTAATTGTTGACTTATTGACTGAGTTTCATGTTGTCCATTAATAAAAATGCACAGAAACATAAATTTCATACAATAAAAGGTTTTTTTGTATTTTACCTATTAATACATCTTATTTAGACAACAAATAATCAACTTTTCTATATAGCAGCAGAGAAGAACGTAACTTTCTCCATTGTAAATCTCCTCCATTATGGCTTTATCTGCCATATTTATTACAGCTTTGCAAAAGAGTATCATAACAGTTTACTGACCCATACCCCAAACCTACCTTCCAACTCTTCATAATGAATTATTAACAATTCAATCTATCAATAACACTTGCATGGGAGAAAGCACTTTCGACATTGGATTAGCAGACTCATTCCCTGGAAAATGGGATTTTCCTAACAGCTTGTCACTAAAAAAGAATTCACCATTCTGTTGCAGTCTTACATCAAGATCTATTTGCGTGAAATACAAGTGATACACAATGCTTTTCTGAAGGTGAAATCAGGAGCCATTGTATTTCTTCACACTTAAAATCCACCACCATCCTTCAGAGCATTATGGCAGTAGTCTCCAGCCTTTCTCTACCAAGACAGATCAGCCCTCATCTGGAAGTAAAATACCTTTAGGATCAGGGAATAAACATTTAATCTTCAAAAACATTCTTATCATGTTATGTTTGTTGAGATTACAAAGAGAGAAAGGTACTTCTTCATAGAGAAATTACTTTATTCTGAACAAGGCACCAAGGTTTGGGGGAATATTCATGGCCAGGTTAGAACAGAGTCCCTTTAGTTTGTTATCTTATTTCTGACAAGATAAATGTTTGCTAGGGAACAAAAAGAAACCTTCCTGGTGAGTGGTTTTAAGATAGCTGACCTGTAAGAAGAAACAATACGATGGGAATAACAGCCTCCGGGAGGCAGATCCTGCTGTGTTTCTGTGGTGGACAGCCATGAGGTGCATCCCAGCTCTGCTGGAGCTGCAGAGTCAGGGAAGCTGGGGGGACATCCCTGGCTGGAGGTGGCAGGGTCTGGTGACGACCCAAATTGCAGGATGAATCTTGACGCACTCAGGTCCCCAGGGTGCCATCAAGGATTGGAATGGAGCAATGCCATTCTTCCAGAAACATTTTGAAAGCCTTTCTCTTTTTAATGGAAATAAATATTATACAGGTTCTTTAGGAGATAGGTAGAGTTTTTTAAGATACTGTATGGGAACTAGAACTATTATCCTATTAAATAAATAAATAAATCCTTAATGAATTAAAGGTATTCGGAATGTACTAAGCTCTGAAGCTTTTATTTTCTAGACTAGGCATGCACAAGCAACTAGTGTGCAAAGTTCTTAATTTCCCTGTTTATTTTTCCCAGGTTAAGAGAGATTAATTTGTCTTCTATGTAAAATCAGTGTATGGTCTTGTCATTGTAACTTAACACTGAATATTATGGATAGTACTTTTGGGTGATAGCACCTGCCCATTAGGCACTTTCCTGCAATTGCAGAGCCAAAGTCAGTAACTTTCAGTCCCTCAGCCTGATGTTTGGAGGCAGTTATGGACATGACTAGTGGATTATATACTAGACTTCCATAAGTTAATTTGATTTTCAATAATGCCTTTTCTGAGGCCAGGCTTTCCTTTAGCTTGCTTTAGTCACAGACAATAAACTGCCTTCAGAAATGGTTACTGTACATTATACTAAAGATTATCTGAGGAAGTCAGTGAGAATGGTAAAATCCATTAGGACTTAGCAAACAAAGCCAGAGATACATAGGTTTTGGAGTGATTATTTATTTATGTGTTTATTTTTACATATTTGTGATATGTGACTGCAGTAAAACATAATTCTATTGTGGTACAAGCAGACTTGTACATTATCTTCCAAATGGTTGGTTTGTTCTTTTGTTATTTGTTGGTGGTTTGTTGCTTGTTTTTGTGTGTGTGTGTAGTGGTTTTTTGATTTGGTTTGGGTTTTTGTGTGTGTGTGTTGTGTTTTTTTGGGTCGGGTTGGGTTTTTTGGTGTGACAGAGAGTATTTTACTCCCTAAACTCTTGGTTTTGAAAACACTGCCTGAATTAAATTCTATTCATCTTGGGTGAACTTCGGAAATACAGGCAATGTTACAGAAAAATCAGCAGAAAAACTTTCAGTTTTCCAGTGTGTTCATGTGCACACCCATGTGAGGAGAGCTAACACGATATTGTCGAGAGCTGCTATTTTAATGCCCTTCTGGCTGTATTAGGTTATCTTGATACAGGCTGAAGAAGAAAGTGAAGGAATTTTGCTGAGTTAGGTTCAGTGATGACAAACGTGAAAGTAGAAAAAAAAAGACAACAGTGAATAAACCACTGATAAAAGATTATGGTCATAAAAAGGGAGCAAGTGATACTGCTTAGGACTTCTGTTAGTGTATGTGCAGAGTGCTACTCTCTGCTTAGATGCTTAGGGCATGTATTTATTGAGACAAACATTGACATGCATTTGATGTCTGTGTAAGATTTAAATATTCCTGTATGTTTTAATATACCAGGAAAAAAAAAAGAACAATTCAATAGAATATGAAGGTTTAAAATAGATTTGTGTCTAGTTCTGGGTTTCCCAGTATGAGAGAAATAAATACAGAGCTATTGGAGACAATTTAGCAAAGGGCCACAAAGGTGATGAAGGGACTGGAGCATCTGTCCAATAAATAAAGGCTAGGAGAGCTGGGACAGTTCAGCCTGAAGACTCAGGGAGATCTCATTCATGTCTATAAATACCTGCTGAGAGGGTACAAAGAGAACTGAGCCTTTTGGTGTTGCCCAGTGACAGAACCAGAGGCTATGAGTGCAAACTGAAACACTGGAGGTTCCCTCTGAACATCCAGAAACAATTTTTCACTTTGAGGGTGACCAAGCACTGGCACAAGTTGTCTAGAGAGGTGGTGGAGTTTCCATCCCTGGAGATATTAAAAATCTACCTGGATATGATTCTGGGCAACCATTTCTAAGTGGCCCTACTTAAGCACCAGATGACCTTCAGAGCTCTCCTCCAACCTCAGCTAGTTTGTGATTTGATGTGATTCTGTGAATATCTTTAGGAATCCTAGCTGGATTGGAGTTTTCTTTGCCTGTTTTCCAAGGAAAAGCTTAGAATTATACCCTGACCCTGCTACACTTGAGGAGACACTACAGAACAATTTAGTATTGACACCAGCAGGTGTTAATGAGAAACTTGGCTCACTTGATTAAAAGTACTTCCATGTTTAAACATATGTGATATTTTACAGGTAAATATGTCTGCAGAGTATCGTGACAGGTGCTGCAAGAATAAAAAACATGAAAAAAGCAAAGTGTTTTTCTGCAATGATACTCAGGTAAAATTTAACTTCTCAGAATGTACTATAGAGAATACAAACTCAAATGGGTTCTTTGTACAGGTCAATCCCTCAATAACATATTGTGATAGAGAATAATTGTACTTTTTAATAGTCAAATCATTATATTGAGCCTTGTTCCTTTTTTGAATTTGGTATCACACCATTTTTCAAGTAAATAGATATTTTAAAAATTAAAATATTAAGCCATTTCATATCCAATATTATTTTTTTTCCTACTATGAAGATTCTTTAATATTTTAATCCAAAACAGTACTTTCTTTATTTTGCCAATGGAAGGAAACAAAAAATTTCCAACATCTGTTTTCATTTTTCTACAGAAAATCCTATTAGCTAAGCTTCTTATTTCAGATCTGAAAGCTTTAAAAGTAATTTTTTGGGCATATCTCAAATTACAGAAGGAACAATTTTCAGCTGTTGCCACAAATTTTATCGTAACTCCATAAAAGGACTGACTCCAAAATTCATTCACTGTTTTCTTAACCGCATTGGCTGATTTCATTACAGCCATGATTTCTCCCAGCAGCCTTATGCTATTATTACTACTACAAAGTGATACTTTAAATATTTTGAAGAGTTGGTGGGTAGGTCAGATTAGTAATGTGTTTTACTAGAAAAGATTTGCAGTATGAAAGCGAAAGAAACTAATGGTAACTGATGGAGGGTTAGACAAACCAACATTAAGAATTATTGGTGCACAGACTTCTCAGGATGTACTTTTCTTGCTCTCTTCACAGGAAATAGAATCACTACAGAGTATGGCATGCAACATGCTCAAATTCTTTCATAAGCAAAAAATCAGCAAAGACTTTAGACGGAAAGCAGCGTTAGTCTCATGTGGGACATTACAGGTTCTACAGTGCAAATGTGAAAGAAATAAAAAAGAAAAGGTGAGTGGTGGTGATGACCTACAGTTTATTGGGAGTATGTGGCTTATTTGTTAGAGCTCTTCAACACAGACCATTTTATCTACCTCTCAAAGGCTCAACTATCATGCATGTGCTATATGACAACTTTTGCTCTGTGCAGCATATGTCTTGGAACAGACATCAGGCCCAGTGCCAAGACTAAGTAAAACAATTATCTAGAAGCCTATAATGATGATCTGTACCCTGGTTTAGTACTGAAATACTAGAATCTTTATACTAGATTTTTACTAGAATACTAGAATCTTTAATACTAGAATCTAGAATACTAATCACACTTGTGTGACAAAGGCTTTTAACTTCTCTAGTGCAAAATCATACTTGTTACTTCTCTTTGGGGTTCTACACTAAGATTAATGTCTAATTTTGTTTGTTTCAATAAACAATTATTGGGAGTTTCTCTTGTTTCCAGAATTCTTTTGACGTTTATTTTAACAACAGTACCTCTAACTAAAAAAGAACAGTTAGATATGAAAATATTTGGATTTGTAGTCATTGGCAGAATCTGATCTTTGATGTGTCACTCAAATCTAGCACAATTGACCTACAGACTACCGAACAGAAGAAGAGCATTCTTTTCTCACAGTTATCTGTTGAACACAAATAAATATTGACCAACATCAAAAAGACTCACCATAGGCACTAGAGAATATAATTCTTTATGATTGGCTTAAATAGTGGAGTTGAAGGTGGCATTTAATTATTTTTCTCTTTGAAATGGAGAAACTCATATAATCTAGGACCAGATCTTGAAAGTAATGTTGGTGTCTGTATTTTGCTCAGGCACCTATGGTGAATCCAACATTTGCCTTATCACAAAAGGTATCCCAGTTAAGTTGTAGAAGTCAGAGATTGTCATCCTTCAAACTTCTGCCTAACCTTGTGGAGGTCTCATTTTATTTAAAGACCAGTTAAAGTAATTTGGTAAAAATCACAGTCACTGAGTATGGACAAGAACCACAGTCGTGTCGTCTCTGTATGAGCAAGAACATCACTTCTTGTGAGTAGCCCAGCTTTCTAGCTTAATTCCCCTGTAAGGCACCTCCATTATTTAATGAGATGTCATGGAATCAGTTTCTTTTAAAAGATGTGTATATGAAAAGAACAAGCGATTCTCAACAATCCAAACTTATTATTTTTTCAGGTTTGTACACAGGTAAACATACATAGTGAAGAAGATACAGAAACAGGTGAACAGTCAAAAAAAAAATGTAACCAAGAATTTTGTGAACTGAAAGAAAATATATCCAGCCTTCGATCATGCTGGAATAAATTTGAAAAAATAATTTCCAGGTGATTCCAAGTGAATCCTGCTCTTTTCTTTCAAAGTGGCATTACTTGGTATCTTTGCATTTTATATGCATTCTTCGAGTAACTCTGCTCGCTTATACAAACACTTTATGCTGGAATGAGGATGGAAAGCTACTGTACCTTGTTCCTGGAGATGGAATAAACAGAAATGGCTAAATCAAGCTGCTGAAGTCAGAGAATCACAGAATGGTTTGGGTTGGAGAGGGCCTTTAAAGGCCATCTAGTCCAAGAAGCAAGTGTTTGAAAGAACTCCACAGAAGGCTGTGTCTCACCTTTGTCCTCTGGAAACTACTTTGAATCTTCTGATCTTTTGAGTACCTTTATAATACCATCGTATGAAAGCAATCTTTGTACCTGTCTACTGCAATTTATAGTAACATCCTACAAGCTGCAGGTGAAGAAGACAGTATGGAAAAGTAGCTGGTTTCTTGTCTATATGAAACACATCAAGGACTGAAAGGAACAATTTCCCAAAGAAGCAGCTGACCTTGGGTCTGTTCTGCTGATGAAATAGTGTTTTCAGCATAGGTATCTAATGGGTCTGCAAACTGCTTTATGTTTTGAAAAACAGGGAGAAGGTTGACTTTTTAAAAAACTTAGGAAGAGTACTGTTTCTTGAGAGATGCAGCACACTTCTACTAGCTGAAGTAAAGGCAAGACAGTGAGACCTATGGAAGGTGAAAAAGGAGAATCCTGAATGTAAGTTTGTTCAGCTGACTGGAAACAGCACTAGCCTTGTGTATTTCGTTATCCTACAGTTAGCTGCAGGAGGAGCTAGCATTTCTTAGCTCAGATTGTGGTATCTTATATGCAATTATTTTATATAACGTGTTCAACATGTTAGACAAACATGACTTAAAATATGTGAATATTTTAAGAGAATAATATATTGGCATTTAACTAATGAAGTGTTAATATTTAATTTTGGATAAATAGAAGTATTTTTATAGTGGTTTGTAACTCTTTTGCAATTTCTTACTTTGATATTACAACTCTTTTGGTAATAAAATATTTGTCTTCTATGAAATTGGGCTGTTGACTTTCTGGGTGTCATTACTCCTCTTTAGCTTTTGTTCACAGCTAGTCATTAAAAGCACAGCTAATAATGTAACCTCCAGCAGCTTGGGTCTTCCCATCATAAAATACCTATTTGTTAATTGCTTATAACCTGGCTAGTTTAGATAGACATTTCCATACCAGGTATCTGCCTTGGACTAAAAATCTTTAGTCAAGTCAGCCTGCTGTTTCCTGGTTCTGTGTAGGGTTACATATGTTGTTTTATCCGTGCTAAAAGGAATTTTTTGTGGATCTACTCTGAACATTTTTTGCTCTTCAGAACAAAGACCTGAAAAATAGGTAGTATGTACTTCAAACTACTGTAACAACTGTACATATCTCCTTTGACTGGAATAAGATCTGCTGTACTGAATCCATAAAACACAAAGAGCAAAGCAAACATACTGTTACCCTTTCCTGGAATACACCTCCTCCAACCCCCCACTATTTATGGTGAAGAGACTTCTTGAGGTAGGAGTAAGATCTTGGTAAAACTGTGATTGAGGTTTCACATATTCCCTTTAGCTTTGGACGTAAGAAATTGCAACTCCAAGCACTTAAGAAAAAAAACCCAAACCCAACCCACTACTCTCACATAACAGGAAATGCAAACAGATTTCCCAACATCAATCTGCAGATAAGAGAACCACTATTGTAAGGACTTCTCTGCAAATCCATTCTCTGAAAGAAGTCCCAGGAGACTGAAGATTAAATTGGTCTCTGAGACTGAAGCACAGTTGGGTTTTTTTGCTTTTTTTTTTTTTTTAAGCTCAGGAACAGTTGAAAGCCACGGTCTCACAATAACCACTTGGCAAGGAAAGGTCAGTGGGAATTTAAAAAAAAAACACGTGTGTGACATTAGCTACTACAAACCTGGAAATTCAGACAGCTTTAATGACTTTAGCTGCTGCCCACAACTTGAGGCAAATCACGCCATTTCAGGTCTATCTGGGGGAAAGACCAAGGTTAGATCCAGAGCAGAAACTTGAGTAATTATGATACTGTGGGCTTTTTTTCTGATTGCTTCTCTTAATAAATATCCTGCCTGTCTGATTCTTATTGGCATATTTCGTAAATTACCACTCACACACTAAGACTAACTGCTGAACATAATGTTTTGTGCTCTTTGATTTGTTCCCTTCATTGGGGAACCTCCTCTGAAATCTCCTGAAATTACAAATGTGATAGCTCTGCAGGAAGGGGTGAAGGGATGAAAACATTGTAGAGTATCAGCACCATATCTACCTTGCTGCCACTGCCACTTATTTATTAATTTGGACACTGCAAAGGAGGAATATGAGTAGGTCAAAACCACGATTTAGAAATAGACGGAATTTATGTGAAGGTGGCAGATGAAGACAACTTACGTATGTGAATTAGTAAAAAGAATTTTAGTACTATTGTTGCAAAGGATTATAAGGAAGCAGAAAGGGGCAACTCACCTCTACAAGTAAGATAATCTTGCACCTTTCTAACAGCAAGAATGAGGTAGGTGCTCTGTGGTTTATAATGAGAAAGAATAATTTCTGGTGCTTTAGAAGCCAGATCATGAAGGCCACGGTAAAAGAACATTCAAATCTCAGGAGTAAAACTCTACTGGCTGGTTATTTGTTTCCTTCCAGTTCCATCTCTTGAGCTTTGTGCTGAGCAAAACAGATGTTGGCTTTATGAAAGGTTTTATTCGGTAGGTACTTAGTTTTTTGTTGGGGCTTTGTTTATTTGTTTGTTTTCTCCTGTCTCCTGTCCGATTGTAGTGGTTCATAGTGAGCTAGAATAAAGAGGAAGCCAGCATGAGGTCTACCATGGAATCTCAGTTGCGAAAAGAGATTTTGCAGACTCAGCACATAAATTAACTTCATCCAGAAAGATGGGAAAAAGTATCTACTTTCCTCTGAAAAGGGCGTGGTGAAACAAACAGAATAGCCCGGTAGAGGAACTTTCCTCTAAAAACAGGAAAGAAAAGAAGAATTGGTCTCTACACATCTGTATTTAGCCAATAAAATCAGGAAATCAAGCCCTTTTTACAATTTCTGCTCACAGGAAAAATGTAACTTCAGCTTTTTTTCCTGCTTAATCATTTAATCAATAAAACAGTGCTCTGACCTTATGAAGGAGAACAAACCGTAACCAAGCTTAGGTTATATATTATACCCTACAGTATATAAAATAATTATAAAACATATTTAATACAGGTGTCACTGTGGTAGGCTTTATATAAACTGCCCTCTCCATATAATTGGGGAAAAAAAAGGTAGAGAGTTAACTTGATGTAAGCTGATCACACTGACTTAAATATCTGGCATAGAGTATTTTTCAAGGCAACTGAAAAAATCCAAATCTCATCTAGCAAGTCAATTAAAAAATATATTTTTTGAAAAGAATAACTAAGCGATTCTTTCCCAACCACTAGGGAGAAGATAGAAGATTGTTCTCACACCAGGTCTGGTGTACTTGAGACCAAAGACATCACCATGTTTATGAGGTTGTAATGATGTTACCTACCCTTATGCTATTTTATTAGGACAATTTCACATTGGATACAAAAAATTGTGCATCATGAAAAGTTTTATTGGCATATTTGCTTTATGGCTAACAAGTGGCAAATAAGCATTAGGTGGTGATTTACATTTATTAAAATAGAACTGACAGTTTAAAATAAACATCATATACCAAATAAGATGCAAACAAACCCAGGAATTCTGCAAAAAAACCCCCACAGGATGTTCACAAACACAAATACTCAATGTACTGAGAGGCAAGGTAAAACTTAATCAATGCAATGCTGACAAAATGAATCACCTCAAATGCATGAATGAACACTTCCTTTAAAAACATGGAACATCAATAAATAAAATTATGAAGATACATACTAAGTATCATATGAAGGATGAACAGTAAGATTTAGAGCAATCATATAAAGTTGGTATTGTAACAGTCATAGAATACTCAGCACTTTACAGGTCGGACCCCAATCCATTCACACTTCTGCTAGAAATCCAAAACCAAATATAGAATTATGGTAATACATGCACTACTATGTAGAATTTAAGTTCAATATTCAGCTATATTAAACTGAATATTTCATTTGCCGACTCAAAAGCTAATATTCACATTGGAGAAATATTTCCCTATTCATTACTTTTGTAAAGAAGAGACACATTTTTATTATTTTTTATTTTTTTTTACAGAAAATGTGAATAGGCTGTTTTCTGGCAACATGAATCACAATGGTGCTATGTACGATCCTCCAAAGATGCGTATTCTGGAGTGATATAAGCAAAAAACCTCTACCAAACAAAACAGTATGCAAGAATAATCCCTTACATTGTGAATATTAGAAAGAAAATACCAACCAAGTAACTGCTGAATACAGCTAGAGAATCTTTTACCTAACATTTCTTCCAACAACACAATTAGTTAACTCAAACCTTACTCAGCAAGTTGAAAAAAAAAAGCAAAACAACCCAGCAACAAAACTGCAACTTGCAATGAGCTGTTCTTGAAAGGCAATAAAACTATTTTCATCAGAATCACTAAAACCAATTTCACCAAAGATGAAAATTCTAAACTGACCAAGTCACTTGTGACAGAAACTAGCACTTCTTCAGAACTTTGCAATCCATAAACAATACCATTTCACACTCAGACTAATTACAAAGTCTACATCAGGGTGCACTGCTACATGGTTTGCTTATTAGCACTTATACTACTGCAGTCATACCTCTTTCCACTGATTTGATAAGTGTGCATCATGAAACAGTTCTCTCTGTGCACTAAGTTTCAGGTACTCACTCTCAGCTGCAACGGCGAATTAGGAGCTAGTCTCTTTCAGATGACAGAGAACTTCCAGGATGCGTGAAGACTGGGTGAGGTTTTCAAAGACATTTTGGCTGCCGTGCCCCGAGCACCATGGAGAGCTCCCACGGCCACCTGCTCCTGCCCGGCCCCGAAACCCCCGGGCTCGGGCTCAGCCTTGCCCAGAGGCTCCGGGGCGTCCCACGGCGATTTTAACCTCTTCAGCAAACCTAAAACCTTCTGCCTAAATGTTCAGCTCATAGGTACAAGCTGAAACGGCGGTAAAGCACCTTCCCATGGCCACTTCCCGAGAGTGCTGTGTAAGACTGAGGGTTCAATTATCCATATAATAATGATATACTTAAGTTGCCATATATTAAAGAGATTCCAGTTCTGAAACTACTACCTACAGTGCGAGTATCATGCATAAATACAAACCTGTGTAAGATACATCATGTAAAGGTTAAGCCTTATGCTATGCTCTTTTTTTAGCATTGAAGCTGGCATTTTATAATTCCATTGCACTTCTATCAGTCTAGTTCCAATGATCTCGCAGCTTCTTTCAGGTCCCTCATTAACTAGATACATACAAAAGCAGAATGCAAGCACCTGCAAAAATGGGAATGACAGACCTCAGAAACTGCCAGCTAATTTCTTTAGAGGGAATTTTACCTTTGACTTTTTTTTTTAATTGAATGGAAGAATCTTAGTAAGCACATTAGGAAGATACAGTGGCAGACAGTAAAAGAAAATCTGTCATAGGGTCAGACATTGGTATAGAAACCATGAAAATCACATAAATAAATTTCCCTTCAAATGGACAGTAACTACATTAGTCTACTGCCTGAGGCTTCACAGTCCTCTAGGAGCGTTCAGTCCTGTTTTGCATCAACTTTGCTTTATCAAAACAATGTTTTACATTTGTATAACTTACAAGACCCTCACAAAATACACGTGCTCATGTGCACACCCTATATATATATGTGTGTATATATATATATATATACATACACACACACACACACACAGAGAGAGGGAAGGGGGGTGCACTGGAAAGAGATGCCAAATGGAGTAATCATGCAATCCTAGTTTTACACATGAACTCTTAAGCGATTTAGGTTTTTAATTATGTCAACAAGGCATCCAGGAGATAACATCAGCTAAATTTAGACTCATCTGTGTAGTGCACTAGCGGTGCATTGTTCATCTAGGTGCTTTATCTTCACAACTATCAGTATTTTGATTCTTAAGACAATTTGGAACATTCCTCCTTCAGAATACCAATCTATGGTTTTTCCTCCCATGAAAACCAAGACATAAAGGCAGGGGGTAAGATTACAGTAAGAAGGTTTGGACCTAGCTTATTAATAAAATTAAATTTGGGAACTTCCTGACACATGTAATGTACCTAAAGATTCATGACTCCATGTCCCTTAACTCATTTATTTTGTCTTTAAATATAACATATTTGTTTCCCCTATTTGGTTCTGCAGGGGCATAGCAAAAGCAAATTTACTACTGCCTAACAAACATTCAGTTGAAATGGAATTACAGCAATCTCTGCTGATAACCTGTCTAATAATACAGTCTATAGTCTGTAACATCAAAGACTTCAGAAATCTAGTATCATTCAGTAACAAAACCTCTTGATAAAATGGAAAAGGCCTCTGATAGTCTCACTATACAATAATAAACTGCATACTCAATTACATTTTAATTGTCTGCTTATCTTTATTGTAGATTGAAAAACACAGACATTATCCAATGTTACTATCAACAGTCATGTATGTTTTAATATAACTTCTTGTAAAGCCAAATTAAAAATCCAGGAAATCCTTCTAAAATTCTTTTTTTTTTTCAGTTCAGGTTAATCCCTTGTCTAGTCCTTGCTATGAATCATGTAAACATAAATTAAGTAAATGTTGTGTCATTCGAATAATTTACTAAATGCTGCATTTGAAGTAAAGAGTTACACAAACAGCTTATAAAGCAGAAGTAATGGTAACTGCATGTGAATTGATTCAAAACCAGGAAACCTGCCACTTGTTTCAAAGAAACAGTCCATATGTTTTTTGTAAAGTTACTGCAGTCCTAGAAAACCTGGAAAATATATATTTCCTGACTTAATTTTCCCTTTGTAGAAAGCATTTTCAATAAATGGCGAAACTCATTTTTCCAATAGAAATAACTGGAAATTCATCAAGTCAGGCAAAGGAATAGATTCCTCAGTAGATTCACTAACTGATAAAACCTATTCTGGACGTCTGTCTTTGCTGATGCACATTCAGCCTGCAATAATTCAGTCTGCAGACATTCACTGCTCAAGGCCAGGGCTTACCTATGCAAGGGACACAGGACTCTAATTTTTCCCATTACACATACAAATATGCCAAACTATGGATTACGGAACCTAAGCTACCTATAATATTCTTTGACTAAGATTTTGTCAGTTCTAACTATCATTACCAATCTCCATCCTACCATGCTCAGTACCCAGCTTACGCAAATTATAACAAAACAAGACTATACTGAATAAAATTTCTAAAAACAATTTTGTATAAAAACTGTAAGAAAGTTCCATACAGTTGAACTAATTTGACAGTCAGACATTGGAATAGTCTCACAAGGGTAGCAGAAGATTCCTCCACATTGGACCATTTTAAGTCTCAGCTCACAGGGTGCTGAGCCATCTCATATAAAATATAGCCTTACCTAGAAAGGTTGGACCAGATGATCCTTGAGGTCCCTTCCAATCTGGCACTCTATGATTCTTTATTCTAATTCTAAAGCATCAATGGTTTGTGGCCTCCAACATGTCTACATCAAGTCGCTTAAATCTCTCATCCTCCAAGACTAGGCTTTGGAGATGCTTTTCTTCAATCATGCCCTATTGCTGGTAATTACAAGTTTTGAAAATGAAAACTACAATCATAATACTACCATGGAACACTAAATTATATTTTGCATACGTTACAAAAAGAGTCTATAAATTTATACTAATGGTGTTTGTGAGTTGAAAGCGACCATTTCTGACAGAAGAGTGTATTTATTGTGGGAAAGGCACAATTAAGTTACTTCAGATTTTTCTTTCACACATAACTACAATGGTGCCAGTATTTCAAAGCAAAACTTCACAGAAGAAATTACTGCATTCAGATACAAGTTGACTGATTTGGCTTTTAATATCTTGTGTATTTTATAAACGCAACAACTTCCAGGGCCTGACTCCTCTTCCCAACAAATTAACACAAACTTTGTTGCTAGCTTGAAGAGGCTGCTGCTCAGAGCACAAGAACACACAAGATTGCAAAAAACTCCATGTAAGATATTAACACACAAACCTACAGAGCACAGTTATTCCATTATGCACTCATCCGTGAGCTGTGCTATTTGCACAGGAATAAGAATAAAAACCAGTCACTACTTACATCAAGTTCTACTGTTCTAATAACATATATTTCTATGGAACTCTGTGTTGTTGTTTTTAAGGAATATATAAAATGAAGAGTGTTTTCAAAATAAGATTTCAACATTTAGATAGGATAAAAATAGACTTTGTCTCTCCTTCAGGAAGTGTGAAAGAGAAAAAAAGGAACAGGACCTTCGGAAATCTTTAAAGAAAAAAACACAAGACTTTTAGATTTGCTAGTCATGGTGGAGCACAGTGGAGGAAGATAAGTATTTCTGAGCAAAAGGAACTTAAATGACAATACCATATATGTCCTTAAAAATACATAGAAATATTAACAAGTTCTTACTGGAAAACAGAACATAGAAAGTCACAGATAAAACCCTTGCTTTTCTTCTTAAATGTGAACAGAATTCTCAGGTAGTTTTTCCATTTTGATTCTTTAAAAAATCCTAAGAAGTGAACGGGAAGTCCAACTAGCATATTATCATTAAAGAGCTGGAAGTGATCCAGACTTTTTGCATTTTAAACTAGGAATTGATGAGGACCTGCTCATATTTTCACTTAAAACATAGCATCTTATGTTACTGTCACATATGAAGGAAATGCCTCCACAGAAAGACTCTGGAAGCCCAAGTTCTCAATGGCTAGCTCCCAATGGGTATTATCCTACATAAGTGATTTAAATAATCCTTTCTCTAGTAGGATTTACGAGAAAAATAATAATGTACCACTTGTGCTACCTAAGTTACTTAACATTTTTTTAAGCCTAATTTTAAATATTTGCAACAGAGATTAAAGAGTATTTCCTTGAATGGCACAATGTGAACTACCTGCTATTTTTATATACAGTATATATATTTGTTTATAAATAACTGTGTAGCCCCAAGATTGCACTCAAAAAATTACAATAAGATGTTTCAAGATGTTTGCAGCATGAAGTCTAATTGGAAGGAGTCCTCTAGCTTTTCATGCAGCAGTACATAGCAGATGCTTCTGACTTCTTTTCTTTTTACTTTTAACCAAATGGTTCATACAACCATTCTTCGAATTCCACACTCACAGCAAAACTTCGCCCATTCCACTGGATACCTTGTTCCACATTCATGACAGAACTTTGGTAACTGTACAGATGAATTTCCTCCATTGACTGAGGATGGGCAGTCTCCACTGTCATATCCAATTTTACCATCAGACCTGAAAATCCCCAGACAAAGAACATTTCCTGTAATGCAGTTCAGTACAACTTGACGCAAAATTATTTTAATCCTTGCAATGAATTACTGCTATTTTTACTCTCATTTTCAAGCTTACATTTTCTACTTGTTTACAGTGGTATAGCTTATAACTCTACCCAGACTTGCTTAATCATCTCCAGAAACCCACCTTCCCTGCAAGAAAGCAAAAAGGTCCACAATTTTATGAGCATGGCTATATATTTGATTCACTATTTACATAAACTACACTATTAGAAAACCTTAAACTTAGCTTGACAAAATATGAAAGGCTACAACAGCAATACAATTTTTATCCTATCCTTTTAAAGCTCAGACACCAGACAATCTGTGAGGTTAGCATGCAAATTTCATTCAACTTAAACTGAACGTTTTACTTCTCATTTGAAAGAACATTCACTTATTTTTTCAACACCTCCTAAGAGGTTTCTGATATTTCTAACACTGTCTTCTGTGCACATCTAAAACAGCTGATGACAAAGGTGTTCTGTTTGATACATAAGCAAAACGTATTGAAAATGCAAAATGTGTTAAACATGCCAAATAGAATCAACTATGAATCTATCAACTGAAGGAAACAGTATTTTCCCCAATTTCTTTTAGATTAAGTACTCCCCTTTAATTAAGGTTCTATTGCTGACAAACTCCACAAAATTAAAAGCTACCTTGAGTCAGCATTGCTAGTTTTTCTTTTATTTGGTAGAGCACCTGAGCTCATGGTTCTTGCCACACTAGGAGGGGTTGATGTCCGTGTTCTTGTTGCACCTCTAAAAAAGAATAAATATACAAACAGATACATATACAATAATATGCATTTTCAAAGTATATATAGATATATAAAAGAGTTCAACAATCTACACATCAGTAATATGAAATATACCATCCTTCTGACCAAAAGCTAATAGAAGAGCTTCAGCATCAATGTGCATGCTTTGGACTGAGCATGACTTGACTCTTACTATGACAAGCTAAATGGAACAGTAAGTCCCTTCCCATTCCTGTGTTTCACTTGCTGTCACACCAAAATACAAGTACATCCCGCATTACTGGTTGTTTAGTGCAGGCTAATGTCCATCTTGACAGACCACGAGTTGCATTTGAGGACTAGGAAGACTTTCAGAGAAATAGCAGCTGACTGCAGGTCTTAAGAGTTTTTAAAATGTACAAAGGATACCACATTCCAAATACTTTATGATCAATATGAAGCGAGTCTCAAGAATTACTTTTTCCTTCAAATCCACAGACACTATTTAGGATGCATACTTCTCAGATAACACTGTGGAGCCTCTCTCTTCAAAACACATTTATATATATATATATACACACCAATGCATGCAGCATGGGCAACAAACAGGAGGAGCTGGAGGACACTGCACAGCATGGAAACTATGATATAGTTGCCATCACAGAAACATAGTGGGACTCATACAACAGGAGTACTAAAATTGATGGCTATAACTTTTCAGAGGGACAGGCAAGGAAGGAGAGGTGGTGGGGTGGCCCTCTATGTTAGGGATAGATATGAATGCCTAGAACTTAATGATGTGAATTACAATGTTCAGTGTTTATGGGTAAGAAACAAGGGGAAGGCCAAAAAGGCAGACATCATGGTGGGAGTTTGTTACAGATCCCCCAACGGGGATGTAGAGGATGACAAAATAAGCATAAGCAGCTGGCAGAGATCTCATGATCACCAGCCCTTGTTCTCATGAGGACTTGAACTTCCCAGATGTCTGCTGGAAATAGAACACAGAATAGAGGGAACAGTCACAGAGGTTCCTGCAGTGGAAGGAAGATAAGTTCCTGACACAGGTGGAGAGGGAGAAAAACAGGAAAAGTGGCCTGCTGCATGTTAAGAGAAGGTCTTGTGGGGGATATAAAGGTTGGAGGTCGCCTTAGGCATAGTGATCACAAATTATTATGAGAGTTCTTAATTCTTGGAGAAGCAAGGGAGGAGCCAGCAGAATTGCCACCCTGGAGTTCTGAAAGGCTGATTTTGGCCTGTTTCAAAGCATGGTTGAGAGTGTCCCTTGAGAGACAGTCCTGAAGGGCAGAGGGAAAATTAGAAAGACCAAGGCTTCAGCAGAACTCAACTTGGCCACTGCTGTTAAAAACAACAAGAAAAGGGTTTTTTCAGTATATCAGTAGAAAAAGGAAGGCTAGGGAAAATGTAGGCCTGCTGATGAATGAGGTGGGTGCCCTAGTGCTGGAAGGCACAGAGAAGGCAGAGTTGCTGAATGCCTTCTTTGCTTCAGCCTTCACTGCTAAAGCTATCCTTCATGAATCCCAGACCCTGGAGGCAAGGGGGAAGGTCTGGAGAGACAACAACTTTCCTTCAGCAGAGGAGGACCAGGTTAGAGACCACTTGGCCAAACTGGACATCCGTAAGTCTATGGGCCCTGAGGGGATTCACCCGCGAGTGCTGAGAGAGATGGAGGATGTTACTGCTGTGCCACTCTCCATCATCTCTGAAAGGCCATGGAGAAGAGGAGAGGTGCCTGGGGGCTGGAGGAAGGCCAATATTACTCCAGTCTTCAAAAAGGGGAAGATGAAGGACCCAGGGAACTACAGGTCAGTTAATTTCACCTCTGTCCCTGGGAAGGTGATGCAGTGACTCGTTCTGGACATTTTCTCTAAACACATTGAAGAACAGGACGTTACTGGGAGTGGTCAACATGGATTTACCAAGCATAAATCATGCTTGACTGATCTGCTCACACTCTGTGATGACAAAACTGGTTGGCTGGATGAGGGGAGAGCAGCAGATGTCATCTACCTTGACTTCAGCAAGGCTTTTGACACTGTCTCCCATAACATCCTCATTAGGAAACTGAGGGAGTGTGGGATAGATGAGTGGACAGAGAGATGGATTCAAGGGCTGGGTGTGACAGAAATGCATTCAACTCCAGTAACTTCAAATGTAACACTGACGACTCATGAACAACATATTAAGAAATTTTCTTAAGTATTACTTACTAAGTTTTCTGTGGATTTTCCACTTGGAACCTACATACTACTTTTTCAAAACCAACAGAATTAATTTTTAAACTAAAATCTCTTCACGGGTGTACTTTGAGTCAATTATTTTTTTAACATAATACTAGGAGTCCTCAATGCTTTGAAGACAGTAACATGAAAAACAGTCCACTATTCTCATCTGTTTTTCAAGTTTTCACTTATCTAAAATACGTATAACATAGTCTCTACAAATTACTCTGAAAATTCACTGCAGGTATGGTGGTGTCTAATAGAGCATACAGACCACTGACTGAAACAGGGGAAAAAAAATTTAAAAAATCAAAATATTGAAAAGCCACATTAAAAGTGCACTGTCCAGCCTGTCTGTAGAGGAAGGCAGAGTATCATGAACAGATAAAAAATCATTCATTGAAGGTTTAACAAAGATGTGTTAATTCTGAAATGTTTAAACATAACATTCTGCATAATTTCTGTAGATTTTTGTTCTCCAATTAGTTTTGTAAAAATACAGAAATAAACCAAATCTATTATCAGGCTAGAAACTTTAATGTGAGTCCTAAAATTAAGTGCAATGATTTCTGCCATTTTGATGGGTAATCAACTGAAGTAGCATGCTGCCCTTGCCTACAACTTTACTCATCCCAAACACATCATTAGCATCAGGTTTCATGAATGTTTGATAGCAAATCTTGAAATGGCATCCTTAAATTGCAATCTGATCTCTAGAGACAGATGTCTCCAAAGTCATTATCTCTACTTTTGTCTCCACAGCTTGGTCTCTTCTGATCTGTTCAATACCTGCTACTTCTATCTACTTGTCCAGTTCTGTTGTTTTACTCTGTTTTGTTAGATTTTTTGTTTGTTTTTATTTTTGCAAGTTACATAAATCCTTGCTTTACGTTATATTTCATGAAGTATTAATGGAGTCTGACTGCAGATGAGGCTTTGTACCAATACTACCTTGAACTCTTAAAAACTGGATGCATCTTTAAATACTTTTATTATCCATTCTCAATTTCAAAAGAAGCAAGACTGAAGGGGATCTCTCTAAAGCAGCTCATGTTGTACATTTAGTTGAATTACCACTGCTCGCAAAGCAACAAACTGAAAGACCTTCACAAAGCAGCTTGCCTTTTTCTATTTACACATTCACAAAGTGCTTGGATTTTGCCATAAAATACTGAAATATCAAGCTTGCTTCCTAGATAGGGCGTTTCCAGATATTCTTGACAGCTATCTCTGTCATCCACAACAGCTCATAGTTCTTTGCAAAATCATAAATGAGTTCCTTATGACTAATGGCATGCATGCCAAAGTCCAGAAACCTTTTCATTAATTAACCATCCACATTGCTGTGCTGAATACGTCTGGTAGCTATTCACATTTGTCCAGTGCTGTTGACACATAACATATTATTGAATAACCTCCTGCAAGGAAGGCAGATTTAAGTCATTAACACAATGGACACTTGAATAAGAAAAACAGTCATATTACTAAAAGCAGAGTAAGTGTCTATACTCTTAAAGAAGGTCTCTTAAGAAGAAAAACCCAATCAATGCTCCAGGGATAGGGGCTATCGTAAGAAAGGTTAGTAAGCAAAGTTAGTAAGCACTAAACCAAATGTTCAACATCTTAGTAATTGTCAGGGACTGGCCCTCAAGACCAGTCCAGGAATTGGTGATGAAAAGCTATTTTAACTCCTCAAAAAAAGTCTCATTTGCATCCCAAAAGGCCTGCCTGAGAGGATGGAGAAAATGATGGCCTGAATATGGCCCACAGGCTGCATGGACAGTGACTGAGATAAAGACCGAGGGGTGGAGGTCCACTCCAGCTGTTCAGTCTTATGACTCAAACACACTTGCTCATCCTTGCAAAACAAGGAAACTAGGCCTTTAAAACAACTGTGGGCTTTGGGAGCCTCAATGACACCAACTCTCCCCTGTTGGCTGCCCAACCCTGGATTCAGGACTGGTGATTTTCTACTCTCTCTCTCTCTCTCTAATCTTTTCTTCTCCTCCTCTTTCTCTTCCTTCCTAAAACCAATAAGTAACACAAAGCCTAACCACAATTTTTTTTCCTCAGATTGTGCAACTTAAACATATATGTATGGTACTCTTTTGACCTAAATGTTAGCCGTTTTGATTGTACAGCCTAAGATAATAACTGAAGTATCCATATTCCCTCTATAGCTTTAAGTAAACTTAATATTCAAACACAGACCTTAAGTGTTATTTCACCTTCATCTCATCAAGGGGTGTTGGACAGCATTTCCTGGAACCATGACATTTTAATCACTCTCCCTGGAAGGGCGAGGTCTGAGACAAAGGTTGGATCCAGCCGCACCTGGGCTCCTCTTTGAGAAGGAGTTTAGAAAGCAAGGGGGTCCAATCTCAATCTCCCTGAATTGCCCTACCCAAGTCAAATAGTAATGTATTAGACAATGAAAAACTGACCTAATTTTTGATGGTTTACAGGATTTATAAGCTCTAAGCAAGCATGCAAAGGAACAACAACAAAAAAATATCGATTACTCTAAGAAGTGGTTCCTCCCCTTCATTTGTTTTGCTTTTTCAAATAGAAACCTATGTTAAAATATGTTGTTACTGTGTCAAAGATACTTCAGCTTTGGTTACAACCCTAAAAGAGCATTAAGAGATTTAAACAAATTTCTGCTATTCAAAGTGTTACATTCCTTGTACGTACCACTAATTCATTACTAATTTATCCTTTGCAACATGCTTTAAGGTGTTTTTTATCAAGAATCAGCTCACTTGAATTTGGCATCTTCTAAATTATACCAAAGGGTTAACTACACTTTAGTATCTATTCCCTTTTTAAAAGATTGGAATACTCTTTCTTCCAAACTTGGATTTTAAAGTTGCTGAATATTCAGAAGTCTTTATATGAGATAAGCTGGATTTAATAAAAGACCTTACCTCATTACAAATACTCCCTTGCTTACATTCTTGGATCATAACACCTATCTTACAGAAGTAGGAGCCAGATAAATGTTTTACTTGAAGAAATAGAATTACTTTGTCATAGAACATTTGTCTGTAAGGCAGGTAAATGTACAGTTATTGGGCTTAAATGCTTACTTCGGCTTTACATCATGCAAATTCAGTTTCATCTCAGGCTTACAAAGATAGTGCTTTATTCTTAGTCCATAATCAGTCAGTGACAGAAGAAATAAAATCTGACAAAAGTCTTCACCTTTCTTGTCCTACTATGAAGCTGTTTACCTAGCATGAAACAGATACTTAGACTGATTAGTTTGCATAATACTCTCCCACAGCATTTTTATTGAAATCATACAGGACAGCAGATGTCTGTCAAAGTCAGACTTTTACTATTCCAATACTTTGGAGGAACATTTCTTCAAAACAGATAAATCCCTCTGATTTTTAATACTTACATGTTCAAAGGCAACAACTCATTTGGTCTTTTGATGGCACTGTCTTTTTTTGTATCAGTGTCATAAATCTTTTGCACATCTCTTCCAGTTTGCAGTGATGGGCTTAACTTGCCCATCTTACTACTAAAGCATATAAAAGGGGTACTCATAAGGAGATTGCTAGATTGCTATTTAAGTTATTGAAAAAATAAAATAAATTACTCACAACTAAATACTTAGATTCCCAAAGAATTCTCATTGACTAAAAAAAATAATGTACAAAACAGACTTCAATAATCCAGCAAAAAAAGGATTGTTCTTACTTTTAAGAGGAGAGGATTACATAGATTTATGTCTCGGTTTCCAATGCATTTAGGTTTTCAATTCTTTTTTTAAGAAAACAAAAAACCTAATGCCAGTGATCTTCACAATCTGCACAATGCACTCACATTTGCCATTTTTTCTTTTAAGAATCACAGAATTTCAGGGGTTAGAAGGGACCTTAAAAGATCATCTAGTCCAGCCCCCCTGCCAGAGCAGGATCACCTAGAGCATATCACACAGGAACGTGTCCAGGCGGTGTGAACATTGCAATTCATATTACATCTGTAAAGGAAGCCTTCCTATAAGGAACAAATATAAACAATGCTAAATTATATTCATGTCAGTCCTTTCATGTTCTAATGAAAAGAAGCAACATAAAAGACTTCTGAAAAGACTGACTGTTATGTTAAAAAGGCTCAGTAATTTGGCAGAAAATAAACCTCCAGTGCATTCCATCTGATCCTCAGATACCAGAAGGGCTGGGGGCAGCTGGGCTTAGATTCTGAGTGATGCCCAATGCAGCATTAGTACTGCAGTCATGCCCAACCCCTATACTGGACTAGCACAACTCTGGATGCACCACTAACATCACACTACTTGCCTAGTTGCACCACTAACATCACAGTACCTGCCTAGCTGCACTCCACATTTACTAGCATGGCCACACTTAAAAGGATTGGTCACATTCAGTGACAACTCTCATGGCTAGATCAATGAATAGTGTAATGTATTGAAGCAACAGATAAACAAGTTCTTTGGATTGCTGGTGACAAATTAGTTGTCTAAAGTTTGTGCAAATACCAAGAATATGAGTAATTCCTCCTGACTCCGAATGTGTAACATGATACGAAAGAAAGAGGGAAAGGAAAAAAGAGAAAAGAGGGAAAGGGAGCTCTAAACAGGTTTCTAAGTTTACCAGGGTGCACTCAGTGTCACCAAGTGTTTGAATCTTGCCCAAAGGCATTCCTATGTAGGGGAAGAGAGAGGCTCAGCCAGTCAACTGATCCCAGAAGTGAAGGGTTATCCTAGCAATATCTTCCTTGATATCAATGGTATCTTCCTTAACATCCTTCCCCTCTTAGACCAATTTTACAGGGTCATCATCTTAGAGGTGGAGCTTGAGTGACTCCAATCATACATACCTTTGTCATGATTGGTATAAAATTCTCTTGCTTCACTTTTAGAAGTATAGACTAGAGAAAATTCAGAGCACATGCTCAGTGAAGAGTGGTTGTCCCTATGAAGGCAGGTAGCTTTTGGGATGGATGTGTGGTTTAGTATTATAATGAGATTATAATGAGCAAAGCTCACTAAAAGACTGTCTTTTGCCAAAACAAAAGTGACAGATTATTGGCCAAGGGTATAAAATATGCAACTTGTCAGTTCTAGAGGACGTTCAGATCCCTAAGTTTATTTGAGAGTCTAGCCATGATTCCTCCAAATGTGCAACTTTTCAGTTCCATAGCACCTTCAGGTCCCCATGTTTACTACAGAGCCTGGCCTTAGTGTCTCCACTCCACCTTTGGTGTGATGTCCTTAAAGTCAGCACAACAAGCTCCCATGATATTGTGAACAACTAGAGTTTCCTGGGGAATTACTGTGGTACAGACTCTTTGCACATTAGCTGCATTCCACTCTAAACGTTCTGTCAGTTTTGTACCTTTCCTTAAAAGGAACAAAATAGGTTTGATTTCTAAATCACCTTATCACAGCTTAATGCTTGGTTGGCAATTAAACAAACAGCATAAGATGTTTTCTCAGATCTAAGCAGTGGCCTTGGTTCTTCACACCATTCTCTAACCATAACTACTAACATTGAGAATTATCAGTCCTAGAAGCAGACAGTGACTCAAAATATGCTGTTAATTTCACAGTAAGTGCAGCTACTTAGAAGAGACTTAACTGAAAAGTAAAATTACTAGAAAGAATATTGGTTCTATCCCGGCTCAAACCAGGTCACACTTCCAGCAATCATTCCATACCACCAAGATAAATTTTTATTTACCTGATTTCATTGAACAAAACTGCGTAAGTTAGTCTTAATGAAAGGAACAAGCTATTTAAAAATATAAATTTTTAGAGGCTACACAGGCTGTATGGGAAATATAAAAGTGGAATTTAAAATTTGGTAATACTGGTTAGATGTTCCATCCATATTGCATTTCAGCAGCAAGACTGTATTGGACATGATTCCCAGGAGGCATAACTTTGATCAGCTTAATATTAAATAGAATATTTAATCCCCAAAATAAAAAGACAAAGCAATTTCTAAGGGTTAATTTGCCATACTGAAAAGTATCACATAATTTTCCAAGCTCCAGTTGAAAAAAAACAACACAACCAAAAAAACCCCACAGAACAAAAACTGTTCATAAATGAAACATGCATAGACAATTGTTCTGTACATGCAAAGGATGTCTGGCTGGCCACAGTGGCATGAAGCTCTGCTAGACAAAACTGTTTGTTTTGCTAGGCAAAACTGTGGGAGTGGAGTTAGTTTATTTCCTTATCCTTAGGATAGGAAGAAGAACTTACCCAATTTTTTCTCCTGAAGACCTGATTACCTATGACAGTTTACTAGAACTGCACCATCCCTCAAGAACTAAAAGTTACTGCTGAACTCTGTACTCCTACAAAATATGTATCAAACTTAGGATCTTAACGTGACTCTATAAAAATATAATCCTAACTACAATTTGTTGAATTAATTTTCCTTTTCTCAGTTCTTTGACATCAAAAAGACAGTCCTACTTTCACGCAAGTGAATTAAGGTCTTCCTACTGACTACAGCAGAGTCATATGCTCTTCTTGCACTCACACTTGCTTCTCTAGCACTCAGAAATGATGCCTTTATGCTATACTTTCATTAATACTTACAACTGACTGTGCTCTTACACTGTACCAGCAGAAAAAGAAAACTCACAGCAGAGCTGAGTTGACACATCCTGAGCTACATGTGCAAAACAAGCCTCACTAACACTAACCTAGCTTACCTTGATGATGCTGTGGTGTGATGTCTCAGCACACCCTTACTTGGAGAGCAGAGGAGGAGAATTCAAATTTAAAACAGTATAACAAAAAAGACTTAAAAGAAGGGAGTTCAGAAAATTTGTTTGCATTTTTGCTCATACAAAATAAAAAAATTATAGTGCGATATCGAAGTTGAATTGTATACGGAATGAAGTTCAGGAATCTTTTTTTACAGAACTAAACTCCTTTGAGACCCAGTTCGTTTTAGCCTTCACCTTTAACACATAACCACGAACCAGCTTCGTGCGCTTGTCACAAGTTTCAGGCCGCAGTTCAAGAGTGCCACCTAAAGAGCAAGAGGGAAACTGCACGCCTGTGTATTGCAGTCTTGGCTGTTAATTACCAGTCGTTTCTTGCCCCTTCGCATACGCAATCAGAGAGAACAGGTACCATGATTCTATAGAAAGAAGCACTGTCAGATTAAATTGCCTCTCCTCCAACATACATACAATTAATCCTTGATGCTGCACAATATAATTATAATTCTACTATAAAGCCTCACTACCTCTCTTCCAAACCTGAATTTACAACAATCTAGGCAACAATGGAAGGTTTCACTTCATTAATATGTAAAACTCCCCCAAAATTATAATTTGCCATAGGGAAAACTGAAGGAGCCTAAATTATAAGACACTTTAATCTTTAAAATCTGTGTCACTACTGTATTAACTATTCTTACACTCCAACATGATATTGACTGTCTGTCCCTGTTCTGATACAATTTTATAGGTATTTCAACAGTATCTTATGTATTTCCCTCTCACACCCCATTACTGAGGCTGAAATGATTAAGGGCAAAATTATCACTAGTAACTGATCTGAACCACCTAATTGTTCCATGTTGTAACTGCTCCTACACCTCTTTGCTTCAATGGAACTCCGAATGAACTTTTTCTCAGAAGTGAGTGCAAAGTACCCAAAAGGAAAAGAAAGAATTGCTAGGTCTCAGGTAGAATTCTTAGAAAAGAGAAATAGTCATCCATGTGAAGACTGGTTAGTACGACCAGCCAGGTATCATAAGGACTGTTTGGCAAAGACAAGAAGAGAACAATAATTTTTTTTAGGAGAAGTGAGAAGGACCGCAGGCAGAAACACACTAAACATATCTAACTCTTACAAAAGCATATCCATACTCTTACATCCATCCCTGCACATTTAGTCATCTAGATGTGGCACTTAGGGACATTACTTAATGGTAGGACTTGATGATCTTGAAGGTCTTTTCCAACCTAAGTGACTCTATGAAAAACAGGAAACTGTGTAGGCAATTAAGTGAGGTTATGAGCCTCTCAGCAGAGATCATTGTTTTGAGAGCTAGGCCAATCAGAAGTCAACTATTTGCAGTTAACAGTGTGTGAACAGAGAGAACCTGTGCAAACATCTCTCCATATACTAACTGCTATTTGGCCTGGTCACATCACAAGTTCTCCTCCAAGCTTCGTAAGAGGAAATGGCAGAATACACAAGACAAGGTATTAAGTCCAGTGAGCAACTGACTGGTAAAATGATATAAAGCTTCCTTGTTAAGAACTGAAGTTCAAAATCTGTAACCCTTCACAAACAAATACAGACCACAATTAAAACTCTATCAACAGGAAAAATACTTTCCCAGACCAGTGGGATTCATCACTGAGGTCAGAAACATGCCTTGATATTATCTCAGCTAACTTGTTTTACTGTGGTTTGCAGACCTCCTTGTTTGCCATTCATCACTAGGTGTTAATTCAACTTCTTCCTCTCAGCCATCTTGTGCCTTCTCCACATTGTTTGGAATCCCATTATTTCCTTTTCCCAGGAAAAGGACAGCCTTCTGCAACCAGTATTTCCACTTCATTTTTCTTCCCTGTATTGTTGGAAAATAACTCAGAAATTTAGAATGATGTGATTATTTTTGTGCAATATGTACTCTGTATATATGAGTTTACAGTTGCAGTCAGAAAGGCACACAACTACTACCACATCTAGCACTCAACAAGGACATCCAGGAATATCTAGGCCTAGAAGAAGAAATTAATCAAGATGTTTTGAGGGTGGTTTGTGTACACCACTAACTTGGCAGAAAGACAAAAGGTCTATTTGACCTAAGGAATGCAAGCCGTGATAAAAAGAACTAAAATCGAGGAGATTGTAGTCTTGGGTGGATGGAGTTACAAAACTTGTGACACTGTGTCCTTTCATTGAATTTAGCACATTATAATGTAATTATAATGCTAAAAATCAGATCCCAGGGTCAAAAAGATCCCTGCCCAGGTGAAGACCCTTTCCGTGACTATGCGCAGTAGTAAAAATAGTGATGTAACCATATTATAACGACATGTAAATTGCTAACCAATTGCTGTAGGGAGGATGGACCTGAGAGCTTGGTAACTTTATAGTTTTATGTATAAATATGTTGTGAAAAATCTCACTTGTGTTCTTGATTTGTGGGAAGGCACCAAGCACCCAGCAATAAATAACAGTGTCTCATTCCTAAACAAGAGTCTCTTTTGTCTACATTTTGGGAGCTATTTTAAACAGTACCATCACCATTCATCTCTCACACTGATACAAGGTTTCACAACAGTAACCTAACTCCCTGTCTGTGGTAACATTCCTTTATAATCACGCTATACCTATCCAAACCAATCCCCCTTGCTTCTGATAGTTTCCTTTTGCTCACATTCAACTTATGCCATTTACCAAAATTACACAAGATGATCCCTTCCTTTATTCTTGAACCCCATCCATTTGTTGCTTCTGAAATAGGAACACTGTCTCTGATTCCATCACAATTAAGCTATGACACAACTCTAACTTGATGATTCTCTGTAGTTTCGCATTTCTCACAATAACCTAGACCATTATTTCCAGGTTTTCTAATTCTGAGAAAATATAGCAAAAGAGAGCAGCAGGAACAGTAAAGATGAAGTCTGATGTAAGGCAAAGAAAAGTAAAGGTCTTAATCACACATGGCAACACAGAAACCTTTTTCTTCCTTTTCCATGTTCCATTATAACGTGTTTCTTCATCTAACACCAACAGTAACATTTTTCAGCGTGGCTGAACCATGCGGACCTCTAGCGCACGTGTTTTTGCATTCTATTGTGTCATCTCACAATTAAAGAATTCTACCTCTTGTTTAACTGAATCCCACAACACAGATATTTTTTGTTCTTTTCTTCAAGTCATTCCCTTCCTTCCCTAATCAGAAAACTTGTTTTTCACTAATAGAAAGACTCTCTTCTTTCAACTTACCTTCCTACTCCTTGCATGGTCTTGTAATTAACATTGGAGACTGGAAGGCTCATTCTCTTTTAAGTTGAAGCTGTTTCATCAACTTTACATCACATTCTTTATCTTCTTCCCATTCTTACCAACGCTTTTGGTTTCACCCCTAAAGCAGGCTTTTCCAGCTCCATCTCTTAAGACTATAAACATACATAATCTCTTCCATGTTAAAATCCTAATAATCCTTATGTGAGCAAAGGGTCCTGATGGGCCCACACTGAGAGGGCCTTTACAAGAAACCTGGACTGTCTAAGGAACAAGTCCATGACTTGTACTTACTCAGCCAAGTAGAGAGATGGGTGCTGTGTGAGCACAATAGCAGAGTATGAGAAATGCTGCTCCGATATGCAAAGAATTTGTTTAGAAGATAAACAAGTGCTTGCTTAATTTGAACAAAGTAGAGGTATAAAAGCTAAAATATAATTATTTGACTTAGGAAGCATGTAAGTTAAGCGCTACATAATCAATGTGAGTAGATAACCCAAGGGGAGTTTTGGAGATCTTTTGTGCGTTAGAACCATGTAAAGCAACCTGTACCTAGGTAACCACACCAGTAACACCATATACTGCTGAAGTTACCTAGATCTTTGTATCAGAAACATCAAGTCCAGGTACAGACTGGGCAAAATAGGGACCCATGGATAAAATAAAATTTAAGGCAGATGGCTTGTTTGGGAGGATAGTGGGAGGAAGAGTGAAAATGGAAAATGTGAAAGAGTGAAAATGGAGCAGGAGGGGATGGGAAGAAAATGGGAGCATCAGCAACAGCCCTGATCACACCAGCACTTTAATTGAATGTAGACTATTTTCTGGTAATCAACATCTACTGTTCTTCTTGCTGTTGTAGAGCACTGGTTTCTGTTGCTTCATTTGTGCTCATTCATTTGATGTTCCTTGAGTATCTTAAGACACGAAAGGGAAAACGTACATCATCCATCCTTACGTACTAATAGGGAAGATCCTTTCACAATAGCCTTGTGATCTGTGGCAGAGGTCTCTTTTTTTTCTGCAAATTGCAGGAAATAATATTTTATCCTTTTTAAAGTCTTTTCAACTTACTAAGAAGAAATTATTATTCCATCCACTTCTGCATATTCTGTAACTTTTAAATCTACTTGATATCTATTTTTGTCACTTTACCTCCTTTGCTGTTATTTTAACATTAGAAAATGCATCCTTGCCTACTCCAATGTTTCTTAAACATTAATTGTGTTTATAAATAAAGGATAAATTCAAAACACTGCACTTCTAAAGCTTGCAGAAGAAAAATGCAAGTGAAACAGACCACAGAGACTTCGATAACTAGCACAACATAAACATTAAATAAACCATAAATTACAACATCAAATGGAAACTTACCCTGCTTGTGAGTTCACCATTCCCAATGAGTTTTTATGAGCTGGTGATAATGTCTGAATTTTGCTCCCACTGCATCCAGGCAAAGATGGTGCTTTACTTGAAGAAACACCTTGCAGTTGAAAGTAAGCATAGAAATACAAGAAAATGTAAGATTTTGCTGTTGGAATGATACAATTCATTATATATATTTAGTAGCTAAATTTAAACAAATTTTAGAAAAATTGAGATAAGAACAAATGTCAAGATACTAGGAAAAATTAAGTATGTGAATTTTCTATAAATGTCTAGAAACAACTGAGACTTCTAATAAAAAAAACCCGTGGATCTCATATATACTTTATTCAGAAAGAAAAAGGAAAGAAAAGAAGTCTACAATGTCAAAGTATCTACAAACAGAACATTCTTATATCTGTTGATGTCTGAGATCAGAGCAAGATCAGTGTTTGAATAATCACAACGTACATGTCTGACTATGGATTTTCACCAATTCATTATGATGTTCAGCATACAAATTAGTTACAGAATTAAACAACCAAAAAATCTCAAGTGAGAGATCAGTGCTAGATACAACGATGCATTACTACACAGAATAATTTTGCAGGCTCAATTCAGAAAAAAACCCCCACACTCATTTGACCCAATATATAAACTACAAGAGGGTGCTATGTGCTCAAGAGTCTTGTTGAATAGATGCCAATCAGTGCCCCTTCCAGCTTTACTTTAAACCAGCGCAAATGAGTTTTTAGAAAACACCTCATCAATTTCAACAATAAAAGTAAATAACCATCATACATGTAAGTAAAAAGAAATCACAGTCACAAAAAATGGATTGAAAAAATGTATTATGAAAAACAGATGCCATCTTATGCACTCACGTAACACATATCTCTTCCTATGAATCTTTTGTCAGTTTAAATCATAGAATCATCTTGGTTGGAAAAAGTACCATATCTACATTTAAATGAGTGGGCAACACTGTCGAGATCCTTTGAGCTATTAAAATTATACTACTTTTACTGTATAGTCTGAGAACTAACATAAATAAAGGAAATAGAAAACTCATAACACTCATTTCATACCTACAACAGTTTTGCTAACACCACTTGGCTGTGGTAACCGTGATGATGATGGTGGTGCTGATCCTACAGAAGGCATCTTCTTAACTGCAGCAGGTTTGTACTGTAACAAAATACAACCTAGAAATTTAAGCAATTACATCAAACTGCCCATATAACATGATAGATAGGCAGTTACCTCAGATACCATGGGAAAACAATTATTACGTACTACGTAAACTGTTTCTGGTATGGGATCATACAAATGGTTTCTGCTCATCTGCATTCTTATAAATACAGATGAGCTAGTCAGAAAGATTACCTAACTTCACTTAGTGGGTGGGGTTTTTTTTCATTCAATTGTATGTCTTTCTGTATTTTCTGCTCTCCTAAAGCTTTTATCATATTTTTCTGCAGCTGCCTGGTGAGCTTAACCTACTATCTGTGCTGGTTTTGGTTGGGAAAGGGTTAATTTTCTTCACAGTAGCTCATATTGGCTATTTTTTGGATTTATGCTGATATGTTCACAATACAGGGATGATTTTGTTATTCCTGAACAGTGCTTACATGGAGCTAAGACCTTTTCTGCTTCTCACACCACCCCATGAGCGAGTAGGCTGGGGATGCACAAGTTGGGAGGGGACACAGCTGGGATAGCTGACCCCAACTGACCAAAAGTGATATTCCATATCACACAACACCATGCTCAGCATAGAAAGCTGAGGAAAGAAAAGGAAGGTGTAGACATTAAGAGTTACAGTGTTTTGTCTTTCCAATAAACTGTTATACATGATGGAGTCCCGCCTTCCTGGAGATGGCTGACCACCTGCCTGCCAAAGCAGGGAATTAATCCCTTGCTTTGATTTCCTTGTATGCACAGCTTTTGCTTTACTTATGAAACCGTCTTAATCTCAAACCACGAATTTTCTCACTTTTCTGATTCTATCTCCATCCCACTGGGGGCCAGTGAGCAAGCAACTGTGTGGTGCTTAGATACTGGCTGAGGTTAAACCACATCACCTCATTACCAGTTAATTTTTAAAAGAGAAAAATCTTTTTTTGCCTTTCAAATCTTATCTGTGCACTCCTGACTAGTCCTAGCACTGATTCAGAAAACAATGCAAGAATGACTAAGTAACTTCTTGTGCCTGTAACAGCTTCCAGAAAAAAGAACATTACCACCAAATGAAAACACACCTACACTTTAATCCTCATTTGTTTCCATCTCAGGTTAACTACCGCAGCTCTTACTTTAATATGCCTGAATTACTCTATGCCTCTAATTCACCAAAATATTGCTGTCAGTTGACCTGTAGTCATGCACCTTTGTCCACTTTAGGGACAGTCTTGAACTGGACCCAGAACACTTGAGCAACAGAAGTTCAACTTTCTTCACCAAAGCTGCATCTCTACTTCCGGCTGCTATCCTTGCCTGTGATTTTCACTAATCTATGAATCTAATTTATGACTGTTTTTGACTTTACAGTTGCTGTCATCTGATTTACAGATCTCTGCAACACTTTTAAGAAAGCAAAAACCTCTTCCATGCTTAGTGTCTAATATTAGTCTAGTGCAAATAATAAAGTTACAGAATAAAACAGTTAATTAAATTTAAGAGCAACACAATACTTAACAAGTTTGATTTGACATCGAATGCAAGTTAAAGTTAAGAAAAATGTTATAGTTCACCTGTGGTCTAGTAGGAAGCTTTCCTTTGGTATCAGCTGCCAATTTCCCCTTATTAGTAATTCGTGCTGCTTGTTCCTTGCAGAAATTGATGTGTCTGTCAGCAGCATTTTCATTAAATCTTCTCTGACAGTATGGACACTGAATGTAATCTTAAAAACATAAAAATCTAATATTAATAATTTTGTTAGAAGTGATTTAAAGTCTTTTAAAGACCAGCCACACTCCCAGAGAAAATTAAGGTCTCTTGAATCTTAAAATGAAACATATTGCTGGGGAAAATAATAGTGTTCGTATGTAACACAAAAGATATTCCTTGTTTCATGGGTAAGAATGAGAAGAATGGTTGAGGGTCAGAAATAACTTAAGCAAAATCAGAAACACTTTGAGAGATGCTATTCAGCAGAGAAGGTGGCCAAAGAGTATATGGACATGGCAGGGATATAAGCTGGAAGGAAGTGGAAAAGAGAAAAGGTTAAACAAAAAATTAACAAATGCAGTTTTGCTCAAAACAACTTTGCTCAAAAAGAAAATGCTTTAAAACCTTTCTCACGCAAAAAGTGAAAGACAAAAATATCTGGTTTTCTCTGGTAGTTTTAAAAGGACTGTGAAACACGAACTGCAATACTAAAAGTCATAATTTTAAAAAATCAGAAATTTAACAAAGCAAAAAAAGAATCAGAGGAAATGAAATAAAAACTAGGAGAGATCTATGGATAGCATGCAAAATGGTAATCTGTGGCTCCATTATTTTTCAAGATTAATTTAATCACATACAAACAGTACTACTTGCAGGAAATATTATTACTACTATTGGGGAAAAAACAGTAAGGCTATGTAAATGTTTAGAATACTGAAAGATCTTTAAAAGGGAAGACCAGCAGCTAAGTTAGAAACAGGCATTCCAAAGACAGAACTGAGTAGGAGAGGACAGTTCTGCTCCATGATACCATGCACAATTCTTCATCTCTCCTACACACAAAGTGGAAAAGGAGCAAGGGTGGCTGTCCCTGCTCTATTTTTGTTGTATTCTATTTCTGGGAAGATAATCCATAGATCATTTTGTACATCTTCTCTTCATTCCTGACTCCGTCCTCCTAAATCTTACTCACTGCAGCAGGATGAAACCAGAAGACTACACACAGCAAGACTGAGCTTGAAAAAAAGAAAAAAATGGGCAGAAGAGAAAGAGGCACAGTATCTTTCTCTTCCCTTTACCACCTATCTATTTTCCAGCAAGCTCAAGAGAGTTATTTCCTTTGCTTCAAACTCATTTGTGGTCTCTGAAATCAAGTGAGCACCATTTTAGTAGCTTTCCAACTTAAGATTTATTTCTGGGCTGTTCTGCTTGTAATTCAGAACCTATACAATTAGATTATTACCAATCCTTTCCATGATTAAGCCTTACATTTCTTACCCACAGCATTAGCTATTGATTTTACTTTAAAACCCATATGGCAAAACAGAGTGTACTGAATGCTCAACTTCACTTCTTAATATAAAAGCATAATTAAAATCCTAATATCAAGCTAAGAGGATTCCTGTGGAGAAACAATGTGGGGAACACCCACATCCTCACTTGACCAGCAGCAAACTTGATTTTTTTTGTTTTGTTTTGTTTTGCTTTCCCGGTCTTACTGAAAATAGTCTTTAAGCTGATAGTTCAGCTATAAATAGTTCAGCTCTTAGGACAAGAGGAAGAAATATATTCTCCAACCTCCTATCACGTCACCAAAGTTAACTGAAAAGTCTATTTTCTTCCCATTAACATGAGACTGCTTCAACACTTTACCAAGTCTCAGTTCTGAAGGGACCAAAGGACTATTATTCCCTTGTTAATGTAAATCCCACATGTCTCACATAGCCAAAGCCCCCACCACATGAGGAAGCACCACATGCACATTAGAGCATACACTGCCATGCACAAAACTAAGTATGAATTCAGCAAGAAATGGGAGAGATTACACTTGAAGAACACAGTCAACATGCATTCCTACAATATAAATAGATTGTGGGTGTCCAGCATCAGCAGCTAATTAACAAGGTAGCCTGCTCTTTCTGAGCAGTTCCACTGTTGCAGACAGAAACAAACTGTGGAAACAATTTGTTCAGTCTATGGTTTATGAGATGGTAGTAAGCTGTAAGTTGGCCACAACTACCCTTGGATGCATTAAAAACAAGTCATGGACTTTGAAAGCTACACTAGATGCTAGTCAGCCACCTAGATCCACTGTCATAAACCAGCATCTTCCTAGGGATAATTTGATAGTCACCTTCAAGAACTTCTGAATATTGTCTTCCAACAAATGCATTACCAATTCAATTTTTTAGAAATTAAGTTTAAAAAAAATATCTCCAAAGACCTTGATTGCTTTACATACCAGGGTCATATGATGGTGGAGGTGGAGGAGGGAGTTTTCCACCATCTTTAAGATTAAGTCCTTTGGCTGCTCGTATAGTTGCTATAAATTCCTCGTGTTTTCGTTTCCAGTTGGATGGTTTTTTGGGTGGTTCTGGCTAAGAAGCCAAGAAAGAAAGAGCTTTATAAGTTTGAAGTTTTCACGCCTTATTTTAGTACACAATATTATAGTTAGATTTCTTCCAGATCCTACTTTATCTAATTATCACAAATTGCCAGCAGAAATAAGCCTTATTATAATGTATACACAGTTTGCCTAAAATGCTCACATGCAGATTAAATTATAACATACCCGTGGCTTTAGAGGCTTTACTGTGGGAATGTCAGTTCCTTCTGCTCTCTGTCGGCTGGAATCAAATACCTTCCTTTTCTTGGCAGAAGTTTTTTGGCAAATGGGTCCATGCTTTTTCTATAAGCAGAAGAAAAACATGAGAAAAAGATTTGAAAATCCAAGTTATTAACATGTTATTTCCCTCTTTCTCCATATATCAATCAGCAAACAAGGCCAAACTCCTCATGAGTAAGAACAGACTGCTTTCAGTCCAATATTTATGTCAGCCATTACTTTTAGAAAAAAACTACTATGAATGCATACAAAAACTTGGGCAAGGACAAAGAAAAACAGGGTACAGCTGTGTTTGCTCCTTGCAATAAAAATTTGATGGTATGTGGGCAGCATTTGCATTGAGTGGCAAGTCACAGCCGTTTTCATATTTAAGGACAAACCGATTTTTTTGAAGACTGGAGAGCACAGAGTTTTGAGTAAGGCTAACAAAACTCCTAATAACTAGCTGAGACTGCATGATGCTACGGCTTGAATCTGCAGGCAAGTAATGTTTCTGTGACTGTAGAAAAGATGTTTTTAGAAGCATGTACTTTCAGAAAGTGATGAGATCTTGAAATAAAATTCACCTCCTCCTAAGGAGCTGTAAGACTGAAACAACTGGAATAGAAAATTATTTAGCAAAAAAATACAAAATACAAAAAAATACAAAACCCTCACCAAAACTAAATGTCTAAATCTACTTTATTTAGCTATAATGACCACTGCTTAACTCCCACAATAATTTATGAGATCTAAAAGCTCACAGTGCTCATACCACTTACCAGTGCTGCTGGAAAGAAAGTCCTTCCACAAATCTTACATGGCAGCAGATCTCCAGTTTGCACTGTAACCTCACCTTAAAAACAAACAGAACATACTTATATATGAAAATTTGTTTAAATTGTAAAATAAAAATTCTTCCCAAATTGTTAACCTCACATACTTAACAATAGCAACAGTTGTTATTGCAAAAGCATACATTCTTTGAACTGTGCAGATCAGAGAAGAATAGATGATTATCAAGTTCTTATACTTTTTTGGAAGCAGTCAAGCTCAGTAACATGTCAGCATAAATTCTGATTATTTACAATATGAAATATTTAAAGGGATGCCTGGATGGCAACATGCAAATGACAGATTCACTGTAAGTCACAATGATAGCCCAAACATACACTCATAATTGCCTGGGAGCAGCACACTGGTACCAGGGGGAGAGATCCAAAATGGCAGTGATCACACCTCCATCACCACAAAAAATGACAGGGGAATAAATCAGGCCAAGCAGAGAAGTGCAAAATGTGCCTCAACTGTCTCCCTAAATGAGAAGCAAAACATCAGACACCTGAAGCGTATGCATACAAACACACACAGTCTGGGAAAGAAACAGGAGCAACTGGAGCTCCATGCCCACTTAGTTACGATATCACAGGAAAAACTGAAACACAGTGAGACAATTCACATGACTGGAGGACCATGACAGATGGCTATAGGCTGTCTCGTATAGACAGGCAGGGTAGAAGAGGTGGAGGAGTTGTGCTCTACGTTAAGCAAAACCTTGAATGCATAGAAGTCAAGTACAGAAATTGTGGTAGCCCTGTTGACTGCCTTTGGGTCAAAATCAGAGGGGATATCTCCAAGGGAGACCTTACAACAGGCATCTGTTACCGACCCCCCATACCAAGACAACATGACCAATGAAGCAATATTCGGGTCGCTCAGGCAAGCTTCAGGTCAACAAAGCTGGGAGTCTTTAAGTACCCAGACATTTGCTGGAAGAACACCACCACCGCAGTTCACCTGACATTAGTCAGGTTCCTGGAATGTGTAGAAGAATGCTTCCTCACACAAATGTTGGATGTGCCAACCAGGACTGGGGCACAGCTGGACTCACTAACCAAGAAACCTGCTCTGTAATACCTTGGCTGCAGTGACCACAGTATTGTGGAGTTTGGGATACTGCTGAGAACGATGAAGGTTAATTCCAGGACAAAGGTCACCCCCATCTATAAGAAGGGTCCAAAGGAGGACTCAGGTAATTATAGATCCATTAGCCTCACTTTAGTCTCTAGGAAAGTCATGGAGCAAATCCTCCTGGGGACTGACGCAATTGTGTCAATTGGAGCATGTGATTGGGAAAAGCGAACATGGATTTACCAGGGGCAAATAGTGCTTGACAAACCTGATCACCTTCTACAGCAAAGTAACCGGCTTGGTTGATGCAGGGCAAGTGGTGGACATTGTCTACCTGGACTTCTCCAAGGCTTTCAATACGGTCCCCCACAGCCTCCTCCTGCAGAAACTGACTCATACTGCCTTGAAAAGTGGTCTGTGAAGTGGAAGGGGAACTGGCTGACAGACCATACCCAGATAGTGACAGTAAATAGTTCCTCCTCAAACTGGCAATTGGTCACAAGTGGAGTCCTCCAGGGATTGATATTGGGCCCAATGGAGTTTTAACGTCTTCATAAGTGACCTGAATGTTGGAATCAAGAGCACCCTTATGAAGTTTACTGACAACACCAAGATGAGTGGAAAGGTTGACACTCCAGAAGGGAGAGCCACTCTCCAGCGTGACCTAGACAGGCTGGAAGAGTGGGCTAGCAGAAACCTTATGAAGTTCAATGGGGAAAAGTGTAAAGTCTTGCGCCTGGGAACACATAACCCAGGCAAGTAGTTCAAACTGGAATCCACCTGGCTGGAAAGCAGCCCTGTGGAAAGGGACCTGGGGATCTTGGTGAATAACAGGCTCAATATGAGTGAACAGTGTGCTGCAGCAGCAAAGAAAGACAACAGGATGATGGGCTGTAGCAACAAGGGCACCACCAGCAGAGATTAAGACATCATCCCGCTCTACTCGGTGCTTGCTAAACCACACCTGGAGTATTGTGTTCAGTTTTGGTCCCTGCTCTACAAAAAGGATGCAGACAGGCTGGAGAGGGTCTAGAAAAGGGCCACAATGATCATCAGAGGACTGGAGGACCTGCCGTTTGAGGAGAGGCTGAGAAAACTGTTTTTTTTCAGCCTTGAGAAAGAAGGCTTTGGGAAGACTTCATTACCATGTTCCAGTACTTAAAGGGTGGCCACCAAGAAGATGGAGACTCCTTATTTACAAGGAATCACATGGAAAAGACAAGGGGTAATGGGCACAAGTTGCTCCTGGGGAGACTGCAACTGGACACAAGAGGTAAATTATTCACCATGAGGACAGTCAAAGATTGGAATAGTCTCCCAAGGGAAGTGGTAGATTATTCCACATTGGACAGTTCTAAGTCTCAGATTGACAGGGTGCTGAGCCATCTCATATAAACTACAGTAGTACCTAGAAAGGTTGGGCGAGATGATCCTTGAGGTCCCTGCCAACCTGGAATTCTATGAATTTAGTATTTTTGTGTCTTTGGAAAAGAATTACCTGTTACAGCATCAAATGCAAGTAGCATCCCATCACTTGTTTTTCTCTACTAAGTTCAAATTTTCTACCTTCTAATGGAAAAAGACCTACTGAATGCTATTTTCACTATATATTTTATGCAGATTATTACTGACAAAAGCACTTCTCATGCTGCCATTCAGGCACTGGTAGCAAAAATATAAATAGTATACTTGACATACATCAGACTCACAGCAACAGATAAAAGACCAACAAATCAAAGTATCCAAGCCTATGCAAGTAAATGCATTCATATAGTATGCGTTATGCAACAGAATCATGGCAGAGATTAAAATCTCCACAGGGTTTTCCAATACCAGGCATCTATTATATTTAATGCTGTAGCAGATACATTTTTATATCACGTATACACCAATAAAAAGGCTTTAACTTTGTATTGAGAATTACTAGTTTCTTATGCTGTATACTCAGTCTGACTATTGCAGACATACAGCTCCTTCTTTAATACAAAAGTAAACCAAAAACACTTTGAATTTACTTCTCTTCTAGGCAAATTAGTGGCTTAAACTAACGAAGTCATGAGCACAGCAACATGCAATTATTTGATTTGGTTTTGTTCCCAGTTCTCCAGTGGAAAAAAATGTACATCTAGATATACATACTTCCCAATTAACCGTAGGACTAGTTCCAAAGAAAATGGAAAACTTAACAGAATGTATCATGGCAAATAAATGAAGATGCAGGCAGTCATGATTTCCACTGAAAAACTCGTTTCCAAATGTAAAGATTAAAACTGAGTGAGTTTTCTAGTTGCCATATGTAACCATTGGGTCTATTTCTGCCTATTTCAATTACTTGATTGAAGTTCATAATCACTATTTAACTATGTATAACATATTAATTGTATAATATACTACAGAGCACAACGCATTTAAAGAATCATAAGTAATTTGAGACGTGTTCTCCAGTTTAAAACATATGTTCACATCTTTAATTAGTTTTATAGTTTTCTCATGTAAATGCGAATAGACTCTCACAACTCAAGTCATAATCAAGCTTCCACTTGTGTCATCTAAATGTATTTGTGTTTAGTTATACATAAGTAGGAAAGACAGAAAATATGCAGATGAACCTTGTTTTTCTTCTGTTCTTACATCTGATTTATACTTGGATGTTATCAACATTTACTAGGAATTATTTTTTATTGTTGTGTTTTTTAAATCTATATTTTAAACAATCACATCTGAGGTTTTTTTTCTCATAGGCCTGTTTTCTTAAATGCACAAGTCTAAGCATTATGTTAACCGCAAGTAGTAACATGCATACTGATCACATATACTTAGATGAATGGAACCTACCTTCATAATTTTTCTCAAGGGTAAGCAGCAATGGTTGGAAGCTTTTCTCAGTTCTCCCATGCAAAAACACAAGGTATGCACAGATTCATTTTGTTTGTTGGTTTCATTACTTTTTTTCTTCAGAATTCTCAGCACTCAATAATGCTAACAAGCACCACTGCAAACTCTTTTCTGCTAAAGAGCTCAGCTTCCTCTTATTACATTATTCTTATACAAGCCTCAGCTTTGCAGAAACAAGTGACAGAGGCATTTAAAGGAAATGCAAGATGACACCATTTGTGTCTAAGGAATCAGCTGAACTCCATCAGAATTAGTGATATTGAAATCAGGGGTATATTGCAAAATTAATTATTTGACTGAGAGAAGAATTCTTCCAAATATCTGCCTTACTAAAAGAAGAGAAGCTACATTTTCCACCATATTCTTCTGTTCACTAAACTCTGGATTTTGAGCCCGTGTTTAAATTCATCATTAAAAGAAGCAGACTTGATAGACGCTTACCTGGTCAAGCAGTATTTACATACGAGATACCAATGCATAATGAATGCCAATTAAAACTCACTGCAGCTACAGAGCTGGATTTCCTTACAGCATTCCTAACCCTCCTTTGCTGCTGGCAGGTACTCAATCACATTTGCCAAGAGCTATTTCTCTTGCCAGCACCTCCTTCCCCCTAATACAAATCACTGACCCAAAACACAAAAGGAATTCTTTCAAAAAGTGAAAGTTCCTTAAGTTTTACTGAAAATGGGAAGCCTATGGTCTTCTGTATTTTCACACTTATCCCTTCAATTTCGTAATCCTTTGTACATGAATTTCCTCTCCTTTAAAAGTAACCCTCCCACCCAAAAACCCCTCCACCACAAACATAAGAAATCCACCAAATCTTAACACTTCGCTCGGGAAGTTCACAAACCTTCCCTTACAGAAGGTTTAGCAATGTCATTAACATACAAACTGATAATTTTAAAATAAAACATGGCAATATATTTGTGAAAGCTGGAAAAAAGAGCTGTTTTGTTTTTTGTTCTTTTTAAAGGCATTGATACATAATTTATGTTGTCATTGGCTTCACACTCTGTTCTCCTACTGTTTGCCTCAGACCAGGCTTCAAATAAAAACAGAGTTCAACCTAGTAAGATGCCAAGTACATGAATTAAACAACTAGATCAGGAGTTTTACTAGCAGCACTACAATACTCTCAGCACTCATGTTTCTAAACTGTCCCTGTCAGTCCTCTTCCTCCTCCAGCTACTTCCAGAGTACAACAACCTACCACATTATTTTTTTCTACCCACAAATGAGTAACTTATTGCACACATTCCTTTTGAATCTGACACAGTTCAGTTACCCATACTTTCTGTTATTGAAGTTGGAGTTTAACTCTGAAGTTAAGGTGGACCTCAAAACCTGATAGTCTCCTAGAAGAAGCACAGTGCTTTCAATACTCTTACAGATTACTTTACATTTTCTTGATTTCCACAGAACAACTTTTTTTCCTTTCTCTACTCGCATGTTCAAATACATCAACTGCTTACTGTGGAAAGTGTGACCCATCAGTCCTCCAGTTTATCTTTCTCAGTACAACATGTGGATCCATCAATACATAAGAGTTCAATTTGACACAGTCACAGGCATAATGCTAGCTCTTGCTGTCATTTACAGATTAAGCAGTTGTGTAAATAGACCCCATAGAGAAAGGGAGCAGAAGTCTTCAGTATTGCTGAACTGCTATTAATTGAGGTTATGTTACAGTTTTCTCTTTTGGAGAACTTTGCATACACAAGTGTATGTGCACTAAAGATAGATAGTATAGAATGCTTCAAAGAAACAAGACTGCACTTAGTATAAGTAACAGTATACTGTCTTGTAAAATCTGTTTGATTGCCCTTCAAAACCTTATTTCTATTTACTCCCACAACAGTAAAAGGACTAAACTATTTTGGCCACACAACAGTGATAAATGGAACCATGAGGCCTCACTGAATGCAAACTTGCAAAAACACTCTCATATGATTTCCAGCCTTGAGACTACTACCTATTTGAAACCAGTATGTAACTTATAACTGTTGAAAGTTACCACTCGCCAAATTTTCTCCTGCAAAATTTTATTTGTTGCTTTTAGCATAACTCCCCTCTGATCTTCAAAAGCAGAGAATTTTCCAATTATGTGTTCTCCGTATATAATGCACCACATTTTTTTCATACATGAAATAACTGGAATCTATATCATCAAGTCACAGCATCTAGTTCTTTGGGGACTGCCACCCTCCAACATACATCCACTAATCAGTACTGACTGGCTTTTATTTTTTAATCAACACCTTAACTAAAAAAGGTCTCAAGAGACTAAGGATAAATACTGTGAACAAGAGCCACCCCAAACAAGAGCCACTGACATGGTGACATAGACAGGGAACATTTCTTCAAACTGTCAAATACAATTTATATCATGAAATTTTAATGAGTAATTTTAAATACTATGAAATAATGAAAAGATCAACTTATAAAAGTGCAAGTTTTCCAAGCTTTTATTATTTTGCAAAAAGTAATTCTGAAATG